TGTGTGCACAGGTATGTCTGGGTGTCTGTGTGTGACTATAGTAAGTATGTGTCTGTGTATATATCAAGTGTGTGCATGTGGGGGGGCTGAATGCATGGTGAGAGTGTCTGTGTATACACGTTTGTGTTCTTCATGTGTGTGTCCTTGGGTCTGTGCCTTGAGACATGTCACTCTGTAGGACACAGGAGGATCTGCTGGACAGGTCCTGCTGACAGGGAGTGCATTGTACTGTTGGTTCAGCATCTCTGTCGATTCCTTGGCTGTTCCCAGGACATTGTCTTTTCATGCTTGAGTTTACCGTCTGCAGAGACCCAGCTAAGAACATTACCACAAAACACTTAGGTTCAGCTAAAATAAAAACCTTGATTTTAAATGAAATGACTGCTTGTATAAGGAACTGAGTTCATACATAAAGTTCTATCTTTAGTGACTCCAGGGATCTGCACAAATTCCAGTCTTAAAAGTGGGACTTCATGACTCTAAATACTGCACAAAATGAGTTGAGTTTCCTAAGGATTTGGAAATCTTGTTTCTTGGAAATTTTGGTTAAAACTTCATTTCTGATAGGAGACCTATATTAACCTCTGTCTGTTCAAGTCTCTCCAGGTTTTCAAGTAACAGCGACAATAGCAATTTTCACAGGCCCTAAAAAGGCTTATGCTGCTGTTCTGAAAAATTTCTAGATAGTGTACATTTCTCAGTAATCACAGGAGGCCTTGTAGCCTGAGATGTGGGGTTTGAGTTCACAAGTCTCTGCCCTCCTGTGGGCAGGGGTGGGCCTGAGCTCCACAGATGCCATCAACTAGGGGGCGCCTTGCAGGTGTGGGAGGGGTTGGTGGGTAGGGGCTTCCTGCGTCCAGCCTTCCCCAGGGTACTGGGTATTTGTCCCATATGACACACGCGTTTTCTAAATTTATGCCTCAGACGTCTCGTTTGCTCAGTTGTTAGGGAGCACACAGAGCAATTTTGAGTCTGTCTACTTCCATCGCTCCTCTGTAAGATGTCGGGGTCCAGCCAGGCCAAGTGATGGCTCAGGGCCCCTGAGGCTCAGGTGGAGTGAGTCTGTCTTAAGGGAAGCAGCGGTGCAGATTGCTAGTTCCCATCCCGGTTCCTCCATCAGGGTACTCTGAGCGCACTCTGCCTGGCCCCTCCGGGCTCAGCTCCTTCCTCTGTGAAGTGGGGATGGTGATGCCTCCTCACTGAGGTGTGTGAATCAGTGAGGTAATATATAGTCAAGCCCTGGCAGAGCTCACAGCAGGTTCTGGATGCCCAGCTTCACTCTTATTGCATATTGTGGATCTTTTAAATCATTTCTAAATCATCTTTGCTCCAAAAACTTCTCTCTCTCTCCTTGTCTCTGTCCATGTCTCAGTTGATACTGGAATGCAGTGGGAAAGGCTTTTATTTTTTTTTTCACTTTGAAGTCACCCCCCCTTATATCCCTTCCATGTGTGCCAAACCCAAGGGATGGCCCAGCTTAGTCCCAGCGCCTTGGTGAGGAGGCCTCCTTGGGGCAGCCCCGCCTGACTCAGTGTGAAGCATCTCTTGCTTGTTTGTCTGCTTTTACTGCCCTTCCTCTGGCTCCAAGGCCTGTAGCTCCCGCCCACTTCCATTCCTGCATACATTAGTCCTAATGTCTTCTCTCTTGAATATCATCATATTAAGTCTCCCAGTTGATACCTTGCTTGAAATAAATTTTATGGGCACACATCATTCTCATCCCATGCATTTGTGGCTGAGAGAAGAAATAGAGCCTTATTCTTCCCTGGGGGACAGGCCAAACTGGGACTGGGGCCCCTGGGGTGCAGGGGCCAGGGACTTGTGGAAGGTGGCCCACACCTCTGCCTCTGCCTCTAGGCCCAGCCAAAGTGGTTCCACAGGTTCACAAAAGGGTAACTGGCCACCCCTGAGCTGTGTCTACCTCCTCTCTTTGCTCAGAGATGCCCCTGATGTGGTGCTCTGAACCAAGGCAGTGCCCAAGTGCCTAGCGTTGGGTGAGTGCAGCTGCCCTCTAGGTTCAAGTGGCTCTTGGCACTGCATAGCGGCCCCACGGTGCATGATTGGCCTCGTTCACATGTGCAGGCTGGCACTGTGCCTTTTTGAGCGCCCCTTTCTTCCCTGAGCTGGGAGGACTTGCTGGCTAGGTCTGCCTACCCTCTCCTGCAGGATGAAGCCAGAGCAGTCCTCCATTCCTTCTTCCTCAAGCAGTCCCTGTCAGCAGCCTGCCGTGCGCCAGCTCCAACAGGAACCCATGCCTCTTTTCCTTAGGATGCTCTTGACCCAAGTTGTCCCTGCTGTCCCCTGCTGGAGACTGGGCTTATCCTGGATATCCACCCTGAAGCCTCCTCCTCATCTCTCCCAGGCAACACAAGCGCCACCTCTCCACCCAAACTTTCCCTTTGGCTCCAGGCAGGGTGGTCCCTGGAAGACCCTGCGGAGAGGCCTGGGCTGTGGCTACTGGGAGCACACAGACACACTCTTAAGTCCACACTTGAGCCCCTCCTGGCCTTACTAGAGGGTTTGAACCTAAGGCCTTTGCACTGAGCTACATCCCCAGCATTTTATTTTTCTACCTTGAGGCAGGGTCTTACTAAGTTGCCTAGGCGGGATTCAAACTTGTGGTCTTCTTGTCTCAGCTTCCCAGAGTTCTGGGATCACAGGCAGCAACTTCCATGCTTGGGATGGGGATTCTTACAGAGGCTCAGTCAGATAAAGCCTGGGTACATGAGAGCCTTTCACCCATTTCTGCAGTTAATCGTGTCTCCTAATCATAGAGACCCTTATGGAGTACCTGCCGTGTGCCGGACTCTGTGCTAGGGATTTTTCATGCCTTGGTCCATTTACTCTTAGCTGTATGTCTGTGCCACTGTCGGCACCACCATCATTGTACAGGTGAGGAACTGAAGCAGAAATAAGCTAAATGATTTGACCAAAGTGAAAAAGCAGAGCCAGGATTTAGACCCAGGCAGTCTGGCTCCAGGGTCCATGGCTTTTCTTGTGACCTTCCTACCCTCTTATTAAATGGATATTCTTGTGGCCACCAGGAGCTTAACACTTTCCTGGGCACTTCAGATCTTTATGAATACTGATTTGTTTAGCGCTTTCTTTCTCAAGGAAACCTTTTAAAATAGAAAAGAATTCCCACGTGAGCTGGGACAGTTAGCCAGTGTGCAGACTTGCATGTATCTGCTTGATGTGACTCCTAGTATGTCAGAGAAAAGGTTGTGCATGAGTCCAGGCACTGGCTGGTGGGTCTAACTTTCAAGTTCATGCTAGTGATGTTGATCCATACAGGGGTTTGGGCTTGACGGTCCAAGGTGAGCACTTGTGTGTATAGGGCTATTGATGGCGTTTAGTGAGTGGCCTAACAGCCTATTTATAAGTTTTAAATTCAAGTGAGAACATTTCTGCTCTCTCTAGATTTTGATGTGTTTGTTGTCCAGTGCTTTGAGGCTAATTCCATCATGCCAACGTTTTAGGATTGATATCCCAACCAGGAGCACAGTGCACATGGAGAAAGACATGTGATTCCCATGCGATTTGACTCCAGTACTTTTGTTGACATGGCATGAGTAGGACAAACTTCAAGTGAGCTTCATAGGGAGGACTGGATTGGCTGCTGTCCACTCATTAACATCCTTGGAGTTACCATGGCATGCCAGGCAGCTGCTGCTGGTGAGGAAGAAATACTACTCCATAGGATCCCCTTCCAGTGGGAGTGATGTATGCAGACAGTTAGCCAAAGTGCCTCATTGTGGTGGTGGTACTGAGGATTGGATTTAGGGTCTTCACACTGAGCTACACACCCAGCCCTTTTTTCTTTATTTTGAGACCAGGCCTTGCTAAGTTACTAAATTGCCCAGGCTGGGCTAGAACTGAAGACCCTCCAGCCTCAGCCTCCCAGACACAATTTATAACAGAGGTGAGAAGCACAGGGTTGCCAGCCTTCTGAGTACTATGTTAGGAGGATACTATAGGAGGCCTAGGGTTTGCACTTTTATGATTTTGGCTTTAGTATTTGTTACCTTTCCACCTTGTTGGTGGTGGGGGCAGAGAAGAATGGCTAGGAACATTATCATTGTTCACCCAATCCTAGACGCCTGACCAGTTTGAAGATTTTGAATCATTCAAAGACAACAGAATAAGCTTTCACCATTGAAGTGGAAAATGATCCATTACTAGGCACAGTATAGGTAATTTTTAAGTCAGCAGAGGCAAGTCTAGGTATGAGTTTCAGGAATAACTCAGAGCCCTCCAGAATTTCACTGCCTCTGCCACGATGTACACCAGTACAAAAAGAGTCTGCCCTGCAGCTGTCCTTACCTTTAACTCAGTTCTGAATACAGGTCATTCAGAACCTGAACTACAAGGGAATCTGAGAAATCAGTGTATGGCTTTCTTGTCTTTGGCCTAGGAAGGAACATCAAGAAGGATTTTTGTTTGTTTTGAGACAAGTTCTCACTATTGTACTGGGGAGCAAACTCAGGACCTCACGCTTGCCAGGCAGGCACTGTGCTGCTGAGCTAAATCCCTAGCCCAGTTCCAGCTGTCTTTAGACTTACTTTGTATCTCAGGCTGGCCTTGAACTCATGGCAGTCTTCCTGCCTCAGCCTCCCGAGTGCTGGGATGACAGGCGTGTGCTACCATACCTTGTTCATAAGGACTGTTGATGGAGCCAACCCATGCTACCTGTCGCAGTTCAAGGAGATACTGAGATCTGCCTCTCCGGGAGCACCCTCAGGCCTGGACCTTGGTCACCAGCCACTTCCTATCCCAAATCATTCACTTTTCAGGCCAGATGGCCTCTCAATCCCTGGCTAGGCAGGGCTCACTTGGGGGCAATATCTCTAGCAGTTTCCACCAAGTACTGAAAACGCAGCAGCCTGGGGCTTTGGGTCAGGATCGTAACCACCACAGGCATGGTTGTAATGCGGTCCACAGCCTGGTCTGGTTAGCAGGCTGTGCCAAAGACTCACACTGCCTCTCTTCTCTCCCCATAGAGATCCCCCAGTGTGCTGGCTGCAACCAGCATATCCTGGACAAGTTCATCCTGAAGGTCCTGGACAGACACTGGCACAGCTCCTGCCTCAAGTGTGCAGACTGCCAGATGCAGCTGGCCGACAGGTGCTTCTCCAGGGCCGGGAGCGTCTACTGCAAGGAGGACTTCTTCAAGTGAGTGAGAACCAGGCTGCCTCCCTCTCCTTGCCTGGGCCTCCCCCAGGGAGTGAGGGGGAAGCTGCAGGTTTCCTCGGGTGGGGTGGGTGGGCGCATTGTGGTGGTGAGAGGATGCTCCTCACTGAGATCCCCTTCTGATCCCAGGGCCTCCCTGAGCTCTGCAGGGGACACAGTGGGTGGGGAGAGGCAGGGCAGAAGGATTAAGCTTTTCCAGGGCAGCTGATGGAATTGCTCTTCCTGCTTGGTGAGTGGGGTCTCAGGGCACTGGGCGGGCTGTGTTATTCCTGAGACTTTCAGAGCAGGTGCTTTAAGTTCACCCTCACTCTCGGGGAGCCTCCTTGGCTATGTTTCCTAAGCTGCTTTGAGGGCCGCAGAGGCTTGGGAGGGTTGCTCAGTCAGTATCATCCCTTTAAATGGAAACAGGGTGGAGAGGCCTTTTTGTGTCGTGATTGAGAGTCCAGACCCTGCCTGGATTTGAACCTACTTTTTGGATGTGTGCTCTTGAGTAACCACTTAACTTTTCTGTGCTTAATTTTATCTGTAAAATGGGTCTACTGATAATAGTTCTCACTTCACAGGGTAGTTATTAGTTTGGACTGGGTAAATTTGTATAATGTTCAAATAGGCGAGTATCTGTCACTAAGTGCTGTCTCTCTCTTTCTTTTTTTTTTTTTTTTTTTTTTTT